TTTTTTCTGCATGTATGACATTCTCGTCAAAGCCTCTACAAATCAACCATGTCCCATTGTATAAGCCATTTGAGGGGTCCAGTTTTCTCAGCAGCATGATGGGTGCATTTTCTTTCAAAACAAACCTAATGTAAAAAATTAAAAGAATCTTCAATTATTTTGTATATGTAATCGTGTAATTCTTTTCTTCTCTTTTGTGCTATGAAGTATCACAATAAGATAAGTGTAAAAGTTAGGATGGATTAGACAACGTACCTATGCCGCGGAGTCCATTGAGCATTACGGTGTTTAGGTATAAATACATATCATATCTTTACCGAGGTTGATTCTATGTAATCTTGCACACTGCGGCGTAGTAAATATTTAGCCGCTTCAAATAGTATAACTCGGGCACGCTGTTCTCCACCACACACTTCAAGTCATAAGTAGTATCTGCTTAAAAAGGGGAAGGGGGTGGTTATAGTTGTATTGTTGGAGTAAATATCTTGTTTGTAGAATATTGACCTGTTTTTTTTCTGCATGTATGACATTCTCGTCAAAACCTCTACAAATCAACTATGTCCCATTGCATAAGCCTTTTGAGGGGTCCAGTTTTCTCATGGGCGCATTTTCTTTCAAAACTAACCTAATGTGTAAAATTAAAAGAATCATCAAATTTTATGTATATGTAATCGTGTAATTCTTTTCTTCTCTTTTGTGCTATGAAGTATCACAATAAGATAACTGTAAAAGTTAGGATGGATTAGACAACATACCTATGCGGCGGAGTCCATTGGGCGTTAAGGTGTTTAGATATAAATACCGTTCATATATTTATTGAGGTTGATTCTTTGTAGTCTTGCACGCTGCAACTTAGTAAATATTTAGCCTTTTCAAAGAGTATAACTCAGGCACGTAGTTCTCCACCACACACTTCAAGTCGTAAGTAGTATCTATTTAAAAAGGGGAGTCATTTAACAGTTAAAGCTAATTTGTTTTCTAATTAGTAAATGTAGAATTGAGTTTTTACTAAGTCTAACCTCATACCATGCACTTTATTCAGCATGTCTACAATTGTTGCTTTTAACTTGTACAAACAATCCTGCAAATCGCCAATACACCATATTTATGATTATATTTTGGATATCAAAATGGTTGTTATTTTTAGAGAGTACAAGTATAGGATAGTATGTACTTGTGAATCATCTAGGTCTCCATCAATAATACATACCAACGGAACTTCTATGGCTCTTCTCATTTCCTTACTTGGTGTTAGCATAAAATCTTTATTTTCGGACTTTACCATTTCACGCCTGTATTTTCGATGAGATTAGTTAACTCTATCACCCATTTTGAGTGAGATTTTCTCAATGCAAAGGTTTTGGGAACTTAGGAATTTTAGTATGTAATTACCCAAAGTTGATAATAGAACAATTGTGTCCTGTTATAGAAACTTTAAAAGTAACATGTGTACAATGCTAAATTATAGTATGTACATGAGTTGTGACAATCGGGTTTAAATAACATTGAAGAACATATGTGTGATTAATGTAATGTACCAGGTCCGTGGATTTCTGACACTGCGGATTGATCAAGACGTTACTCATGGAAATAGTAGATATTTCAAAAAGTGCCTAGTGTGAAAGAGCTTGTTTCAAATTTGAAATAACTATTATACTCAGTTTATTATAAAAACATACAGTAGTATGACCAATACTTTTATAGATTAGAATTCTAACGTCACATAAGCCAAGTATAGGTTTATAATCTTTCATCTTTTCTAGAAAAGCACCGTCATTTTCTGCAAAATCTTCTCATTGAGTAACAATTGTATGCTCCATGCTGGGTTATTAGTTAGAAGTGAAATGTCAATACTTCACCATATCTCTATATTGATGATAGTTTAGGCATCTTCAAAACATACTGCTCATTTGTAACAACTATCTCCCGTCTCTTGCTATATTCCTTTCAACGAGGGGATTCATTGAAACTAAAACGCAAATCAAATCTTAGAATAGGTAATGTAAATTAGTGATAGCGATTACATAATGGAGCATGAAATTAAATAACAAATTATTTGGGTGGACAGTTACCTAGAATAGCACCATTAGGTAATTTATCGACATGATCCAATGATACAAAGCCAACAGAGAATCTGTTTGTTGAAACTTCAATGTTAGTCGCCTTTATGATTGTGTTATCTGCAAATTCCAATTTAAGTTCTTTATCTACGGAATAGTAGTTAGGGTTGACCGATCTAAGCGTCCTTTAGCAATGTAGTAACTCTTATTTGGTTTCAAGTTGTCCTTCCATGTTTCGATATGTTGATTAAATAGTGTTGCTTGAATTTTTGTACCTAGTATCACTACTAAAAAACTGTCAAAAAATGACGGACAAAAAAGCGACGGATTGCGTCGCTCCAAAAAGCGACGCCATTTGCCACACTGTCCGTCGCTTTTTAATAAAAATAATTATATTACAAAAAGCGACGGACGGCATCTCTTAGTCCGTCACTTTTTCTTGCGGATTTTTGCGCTAAATATATATATAATTAATAATTATTTATTTAATATATATAGAGACGCCGTCCGTCGCTTTTTAATAAAAATAATTATATTACAAAAAGCGACGGACGGCATCTCTTAGTCCGTCACTTTTTCTTGCGGATTTTTGCGCTAAATATATATATAATTAATAATTATTTATTTAATATATATAGAGACGTTTTAATTTATTTTATTTTATTAATTAGTTTTTTAAAAAGCGATGGACGACATATCTTAGTCCGTCGCTTTTTGGTCAAAATATTTAGTCAAACATTTTTAAAAAGCGACGGACAATGTCTCTTAGTCCGTCGCTTTTTAGTCAAAATTTTGGTCAAATATTTTTTGAAAAGCAACGGACAAAGAGACGTTGTCCGTCGCTTTTTTAAAATTATATTGAACCAAAAAGTGGGGTTTCCCCCCATTTTTTCCATCTCTCTTTCTCTCTCTTCTCTCTCTTCTCTCCCTTCTCTCTAAAACCAAACTGTTGCGCCGCCACCCCATGCCACCGCCGCCCTTCTCTCCTTGAGCATTAGTCCCGTCGCTGCCTTGCCCCATCGGCGCCGCCACCCGTCGTCCCCACTGCCTCTTTTCCTTAGCTTGCTAAGGTTAGGGTTTAATTTTAGTTTTTTTTCAATTCTAGTAATTATTTGATTTGTTATAAATTAGTGTATTATTTTAGTTTGATGAATTGTGTTATTCAATTGTTAATTTGTATATTTGATTATTGTTAGTTAGGTAGAGATTTAGGGATTTTTGATTTTAGGGTTTTCTTCTAAATTGGGGTTTCTTTTTTTAATATGATTGTGAATTGAGTATTAGAAGATAGAACTAACAAATAATTAGAAGTTAGAAGTTATAAAGTTAGAAGTTAGATTAGTTGCATTTTCCAACTTTGAAATTCTTGAATTTAGTATGTTTGACGGTTGAAGTTAGAAAAAC